AAGTGTGTGTTGTTTACGTGCTTATTATTTTTCTAAAAATGAAAAAGTGGGTTTTGCGCCTTGGTAAACAACACAAGTTTAATAACTAATAAAGCTGCTATTTTTTGAGTAAAATAAAGCTGTTTTTGTAAGCATAAATATATATTTTTCTTTTAGAACCAACTTGTGGTTGGATGGTTAGGAGGACTCCCTTGGTCGACTTGGGTGCATTCTCGACCCACTCGTAGTGCTCACACCCTACACATCTGCTTCCGTTTTCGTGACTCGCGCTTTAGCCTTGGGCCATCGGGTTGGTTCTCTTTCCTTAGGGACCATCGTGGTTTGTGGCCATCGAAATTCATGGCCGCCGAAGATTGCGAGTGGCATGCTCGCTATGCTTTAGGACTTTTGTGTGGGTGTGGTGTCTGTCTTTGCCTATCTTGACAGTGGGGAGATCTTTAGTCCTTCGTTGCACATAGGAATTTGCGTTGGATCATCCCTTCAAGGGGAGACCTTTAGTTAGCGACATCCCTCTTGGCTTAGCATAAGGGTTTTTGGGGCATGCTCTATTGTAGGGTGCCACTTAATTGTGTCAGAGATCTAGATTGTGATGCTAATATGAGATATATCGATGTGAATGGCCCTTAGAGGATTTTTAGGATCTGCCACCGAATTCTCAAGTTTGTGAGAAAGGAGGATACATGCCTTGCCTATGCATTTTTTGAGAGCCGTGCGTAGGGGGCTCAAGCATAGAACATACAGGGCTTGTCACTGTTCCAGGCATGGCTGAGATGACCTTGCATGTTGGCGAGGCAATACGCCCTGGAGCCTAGTATGGTGGAGATGTGGTATGTCATCCCACTTGGTTTGTATCTTTCCTTGAAGCTTGAGGTTGAGAACATTCTTGAGGACGAGGTCTCCTTGGAGGAAAGCCCGTGGCCTCACTCGAGAGTTGTAGAAGCGCGTAGCGCTCTACTTGTAGGCCGCGTGCTTTACCAAAGCTTTGTTGTGAGCAATCTTGGTTAGATGGAGCTCGTCTTGGCAAGTTGTTGTTCAGCTCGTTATTTGGAGGCATTGCTTTGTGAAGACTCCCCATGCGAAAAGAGCAATACTCGAGTTTTGCCAATAGAACAACTTTGGGGTCCTAAACAAGGGCAAACTGCGTTTGGCCCGTGGAGCAGCCGGTGGTAGTTCGCAGGCCCTAGAATACACTGAGTAGCTGGTCTGCCCATCTTCCTTTGCGCTTGACATTGTTTATGAGCCCATTTACTCTTTCAACAAGGTTGTTGCTCTTGGGGTAGGCGACGAAGGCGAAGCGCATGGGTCTCAATTGAGTCACAAAATTCCTGAAATGATAGTGTCAAATTAGATCCCATAATCCATAGTTTTCTCTTGAAGGACGCTTTAGTAGCATATGATGTTCTTCCAAATTAAGTCTTGCATGGCTTGCGCTTGATAGTGACGAGTGGCCCAGCCTACGGTTGAACCTTGGCTCTAGGGGGTGACTCTTGAGTTTATTCAAGTGGGAGTGAATGTGCTACTTCCTTCATCTCGGTGTATAGGGCGTGCACGTAGTTCTAGGTCATCGATTTAACTAACCAAATATGCGTCCTATTTCATCAAAAGTATATCATTGGATTCTCAAGAGGATGTAGTTTCTAAACATATATTTTTCATCACATATAATACATATTTAATTAGTTACATTAACAACCTAGAACTATGTGCATGCCCTATAAATTGAGACGGAGGGAGTACATGCCCATGCACGGCTATTTATATCATACAGGTCCTTGACAAATGACGAAGGCCATCCTTGAGATGATGAGATGGGAGAATAGAACCAAGTAATCTCTGGTCCCTTAGTCCACTGGCTTCTACTTGGGCTAGGAGGGGGATTCCCTCCACTATTTTTTTAGGTGAATTCCCTCCACTATATGGAGACCTTCTTCTGGGGATTGGGCTTCTTTGCTCCTTTGCCTCCACCTTTGACTTGTTCTTTTATTTGCTCTTCTTCATTTGACTTGCTCACCATGAAAACTTGCTTGGACTTCTATGGACCAGATTGGTGAAAGTGCATATAGTCCCAATGTGTGGTTTTGGTAATTAATAACAATCTCTATGGACTAATTTGTTTCATTGAGATGTATTTAAAGGAGAGTTTCATAGGCAAATGTATGAAGAAGATTGTATGGATTTAGAATGAATGCCATCAACATCAAGATGTGCATCAAGATCATTGAGTTCTAGTGATGAAGATCAAGAAGAAGCAAAGTAAATGGAGTTCGAGGCATCAAGATTAAGCTCTATGATTGAATCAAGTATAATCAATATGAAATCCATGTGATGTACAAGATGTGATCAAATTGGAGTTCAATGGAGGAACTCAAGTATTGTCATGCTTGGATTTATGAGTTGGTCTATGAAGGATCAAGATCTTGAGAGAATGATTAAATATAATAAGCCTATTATGGCTTGAATATGAGATCATGATGAGTTTGTTGAGTCATGGTTGGTCAAGTGTTGAAGCAAGTAATTCAAGTGAAGAATTCATTGCGCCTCTTAAAAGCATGTGATGTATAATGAACAAGACCATGTGATGACCAATATGATACTCATGTAGAAACTCAATATGGTCACAAGAGAATTGAGATATTGGTCATCACTTCTTGAAGCTGATGGGAAGAGTTCAATATGGCTTTCAAGACATCAAGATAGATCATGGAGTAACGATGAAGGTTTACCAAGATAAATATCAAAGATTGATTTACCACATGGGATACTTGTGGTATGGTAAGCAATTATGAATTGCGCTTTGTGGACTAACTCATCTTAATTGAGCTTTTGTCCAAGCAAAAATCTGAGTGTCAACAAAATGCAATTTGGAGCTCAGGCTCTTTGAGCTCCTTTTCAGAAGAAGAGATCAAAAATAAAATTTTGAAGATCCAATTTTACTTTTTTGGAACCACATCCATGTGTAGTATTAGCAGAATATCGATCTACAAAAAAGAGACAAATTCATTTGTTATTTAAAAACCCATGATTTTGTCTTTTATTTGTATAGCTTGCATGTTAAAGTATCTCATATCAATACATTCATATGTACATGTGGGATTGTTTTCAGAAATTATTACACTTTGGATGTGATTTTTTTAAAATGAAAATTTCAGTCCTCACAGCCCGAGGTCCAAAACACCTCTCTATAATAGTTCCACATATTTTACAGCATACTTTTACAACTATTTAGTAAATAAAATAACGCAAACCTAAAGCCTTGCAATGCTTTATTGCTTATTACATCCTGGGACTAAGAAGTAGAATGACCATGATCTAGAATTGCGTTGTTCGGAGGGGAGCTTCTGTAAAGCAGAACTGTTGTACAAAATCCTACAGCAGAAATCCATCAGAATTCATTGATCTTCTAGCGTGGTATCCCTGGCCTGCCAAATCAATCATCGCAGTGAAATTGAAGGCGCTGTCAAACCAGAAGTGATACTGCATAGAACGACATATAAAATGACATTCTTCGGTACCTTGTTGGATGTAATGAAACCCACTACAGCATCAGAAAGTTCTTTACGATGTCTAGTGTAGCAGTGATCTGCTCCCTCGACGACACACAGTTTGTGGGTCGGTATATGCTTTGCAAACTCATATGCATCTTCCACAGGAATGATCTCATCAGCAGAACCATGAACTGTGAAGAAGCTGAATAAAGACAGTAAATTAATTGCCTGATATTTGTAACACGCAGGATTTATTCTAGCACAATATGAAACCTATGCCCAACAGCAAACACATGAGATATTTAATGTTTTCAATCCTGGGAATGCATGGGAATGACTATTTAAATGAAGGTAAATGTGTCATGTAGGTGCCATGGTGCCCCTTGTTTCAGTTGGTAGTTGGAATACGAAGGTAGTTCATTCCTCAAGTAGTTTCCTGACCTGCATTCCTTGCTAATGGAGAGGCTTGTTGCACGCATGTCAGTGTTCAGTCGTTCCATCAAGCTCTCTTTTGTTACCCTGTATAAAACATTTCCTACATTGCAACCATTGGATAGTCAGTATATGACAACGAAAGAGAAGCTATATACACAGTATACAAAATTGCTACCTGACTTGTTTGTGACATCAATGTAACCTTCCTTATTTATTCTGTCAAGAAATTCTTTCCCTAGGCGTTCCTCAATGCCTTTCTCCAAATAAAATCGGCCGGATAGGTTAACAACCATACGGACATCGTCATATAGGGAAGCATAAAGAACAACCACATCTCCTCCTGAATAATAATGTAAATTAAGTGACTACATTTTCTAATTTGCGTTAAAAGCACAACAACATATGGTAACTGTTATGACCGGTTTGGTCTATACAAGGAAGAGGCCCACCGGGCATTAGTATTAGGGGCTTGACCCACAAGTTATCTTAGGCAAGTTATTTTAGGCAAGTTATCTTAGGCTAAAGTTATAAATACTAGTTGTAAGACATCGTTTGAGATCAAGCAATAAAGATACTTCTATCATATTGCCCGGCTCCAGAGGAGCCGGAAACCCTAGCCGCACCTTGCCCTAGCCGCCGCCGCCCTTCTTCTCCCTCGCGACGGCGCCAACACGCCGGAGCCGCCGCCCTCGCCCCAACCCTCGCTGTTCTGCCCGCATAACCTACGGAGTAGAGCCGGTAGGAACCCTAGTCCTACCAATTTGGTATCAGGTACCCGGGTTTCGACCATGTCTTCGCCACCTCCAATTCCTCCGCCGCCGCCACCACTGCCGCTGCCCATCAACTCCACCACCGCCGCTGTCGCCAACTCCTCCACCGCCGCCGCTTCCGCGCCGGGCGTCACGGCCTCGCTCTCGGCGGGCGCTACGGCGTCGCTCTCGGCGCCGACCCTCCCGGCGCCCGGCACCGCGCCAGGCCACGGGTGGCCACCGACCCCCGTCCAACATACGCCGCCGCCGTCACCTCCCCTGCAGCCGCAGCAGTTCACACATGAGGCAATGGTCGGCGTCCTCAACGACCTAGTCGCCGCGGTCCAGGGCATCCGCCTCTACCTGGCAAGTCCGTACGGGCCGCCTCCACCACTACATCCCGCCCTGGCCGCGGATCCGCAGGCGCTGCCGTGGTACTCGGTACCGGGGGCCATCACCGGAGGCTACCCGGCGCTCCCCGCCCCGGCGGCCGCACCGCCGCCGTGGCCACAGTGGCCGCCGCCGCTCGCTACGGCAACCGCGCCACTCGCCGCCACCACAGGGCCGCAGTGGCCCACCTGGACCGCGCCATCCGCGCCGTCTCCCGCCGCGCCGTCACTTCCAGCAGCCACGGAGCAGGGTCCTCCACCGCCCCATCCCAGCCCTAACTTGGGCCGGTCGTCGCCGAGCGGGCTTCCGATCCAGGAGGTCCGCTTTCCGTCATCGCCATCACCACTCCCCGACTGGCTTCACGGGCCGCCATCGGCCTACCCGGGGGCCCGTCCGCCGTCCGGTTTCCCGTTGCAGCCCGAGGCATCGGGCGTCACCGGGAACTATGCCGGGCCTTCCACCATGGACCGCGCACCATCATCCGCCCTACGCACCGCCGAGGCAGTGGGCCAGGGCGCGCCACACCAGCAGCCGCCCCGGTTCGCCAAGATCGACTTCGCCACATACGACGGCTCCGATGACCCTCTTAACTGGCTCAACCAGTGTGACCAGTTCTTCCGCGGACAGCGCACACCCGCATCAGAGCGTACTTGGCTGGCTTCCTACCATCTCCGCGGGGCCGCCTAGACATGGTACTACGCCCTCGAGCAGGACGAGGGCGGCATGCCCCCGTGGGATCGTTTCCGAGAGCTGTGCCTTCTTCGTTTCGGGCCACCGGTCCGCGGGAGCCGCTTGGCCGAGTTGGGCCGCTTGCCGTTCACCTCCACGGTGCAGGACTTCGCCGACTGCTTCCAGGCCTTGGCGTGCCACGCGCCCGGTGTGACGGCCTTACAGCGGGCGGAGCTTTTCATCGGCGGCCTTCCCGACCACATCCGCGTGGATGTCGAGATGAAGGGGCCCCAAGACCTTCAGACGGCCATGTACTATGCCCGGGCATTCGAGCAGCGCGCCCAGGCCTTAACGCGTCCATCCGCGCCACGTGGGGGCCGACAGCTTCCCCGGCCGTCTCCGGCAGCACCGGCGTCGTCCACAGCCGCCCCGGTACCCACCCCGGCACCGATGCGGCCATTCAGGCGCCTCACTCAGGTGGAATAGCTGGAACGCCGACGCTTGGGCTTGTGTTTCAACTGTGATGCGCCCTATGCACCGGGCCATGTCTGTCCCCGCCTCTTCTACCTGGAGACGACAGACGAGCCTGAGGAGGAGACACTGGAGGATGGCCTCGACGCTCCAGCCCTTGTGGAGCCCGCAGCGGCACCCGCGCCCGCCCCGGCCACCGCCCTCGTGGTGTCCCTACACGCGCTGGCCGGCATCCGTGATGAACGGACGATGCTCTTACCGGTCATGATCCAGGGTGAGCGCCTGGTGGCCCTAGTGGATACAGGGTCCACGCATAACTTTCTGCCGGAGACCACCATGCGGCGCCTTGCATTACAGCCAACCGGCGGTGAGCAGTTGCGAGTCACAGTCGCTAATGGCGACCGTCTCCGCTGGCACGGGCTCGCCCGCGACGTGCCCATCACTATCGGCGATGAGCACTTCACCATCACCTGCGCCAGCATCGACTTGGGCTGCTTCGACTTCATCCTCGGCGTCGACTTCCTACGCACTCTTGGTCCTATTCTATGGGATTTCGACGCGCTGACGATGACCTTCTGGCGGTTGGGCCGCCACATTCAGTGGGACGACATTGGAGGTGCCGCCCCAACCACTCCACTCCAGCTGGCCGCGACCACCGCCACGGCCGAGCACCCACTATTGGAGAGCCTCCTCCAGCAGCACACGGACATCTTCACCGAGCCACAGGGGCTGCCGCCCGCCCGCACGTACGATCACCGTATACATCTTCTGCCAGGCTCCGCGCCGGTGGCGGTACGGCCTTACCGCTACCCACAGTTGCAGAAGGATGAGTTGGAGCGGCAGTGTGCGCTCATCCTCGCGGCAGGCATCATCCGGCTCTCCACTTCGCCATTTACCGCGCCGGTGCTTCTCGTCCGCAAGTCAGACGGCACATGGCGTTTCTGCATCGACTACCGTGCCCTTAATGCTGTCACCCTTAAGGACAAGTTCCCTATTCCGGTGGTCGACGAGCTCCTCGATGAGCTCCACGGGGCGCGCTTCTTCACCAAACTTGACCTCCGGTCGGGGTACCACCAGGTGCGCATGCACCCGGATGACATCTCCAAGACGGCGTTTCAGACTCATCACGACCACTTCGAGTTCTTGGTGATGCCCTTTGGCCTCACCAATGCCCCGGCGACCTTCCAGGCTTTGATGAACGACGTCCTTAGGCCCTACTTACGCCGGTTTGTGTTCGTTTTCTTTGATGATATTCTAATCTACAGTGCGTCTTGGGCCAAGCACCTCTAGCACGTCGCCATCGTCTTCAACGAGCTTCGAGCGCACCACCTCCACCTTAAGCACTCGAAGTGCTCGTTCGGGACGCCTTTGGTGGCCTACTTGGGCCACGTCATCTCGGTCGACGGGGTGGCTATGGACGCCGACAAGGTGGCAGCCGTCTCCGCATGGCCGACGTCTCACTCGCCGCGGGCTCTCCGCGGGTTCCTCGGCCTCGCCGGCTACTACCGGAAATTTATCCGGGAGTTCGGGCTTATTGCGGTGCCCCTCACGCGGTTGCTTCGCCGCGACGCTTTCGCCTGGGACGACGAGGCGACAACGGCGTTCGAGGCCCTCAAGGGGGCCCTCACGACGGGCCCCGTCCTCCAGATGCCCGACTTCGACCGCCCGTTCGTGGTGGACTGTGACGCCTCAGGCGCAGGGTTCGGCGCCGTGCTTCATCAGGGCGATGGGCCCCTCGCCTTCTTCAGCCGGCCTTTCGCTCCGCGTCATCTTAAGCTAGCAGCATATGAGCGGGAGCTCATTGTCCTTGTACAGGTCGTTCGTCATTGGCGGCCGTACTTGTGGGGACGGTCCTTCCAGATTCGCATCGACCACTACAGCCTGAAGTTTTTGCTGGACCAACGGCTGTCGACCGTGCCGCAGCACCAGTGGATCAGCAAGCTCTTCGGCTTCGACTTCTCCGTCGAGTATCGGCCGGGCCGCCTTAACACCGTGGCCGACGCGCTGTCCCGTCGTGACTCCGACCTCGCTTCCTCCGCTGACAAGTTCGCGGGGGCGGCCCTGTGCATCCGCTCCGGGCCAACGTTCGGCCTCTTCGCCGACATTCGCCGCGCCACTGCGACGGCCGATGACGCCGTCCGTCTTCAGCAGCAGCTCATGGCCGGCGACCTGGAGGAGCCTTGGCGCTTTTCTGACGGACTGCTCCTCCATGGGCGCCGGGTCTTTGTTCCGGCGCAGGATGATCTCCGTCACCAGGTGTTACAGCTCGCCCACTCGGCGGGTCATGAGGGTATGCAGAAAACCCTCCATCGTTTTCGCGCCGACTTCTACATCCCTGGCGATCGCGCCCTGGTCCGCGACTGGGTGCGGTCTTGTCAGACATGCCAGCGCAACAAGACAGAGACTCTCAGGCCGGCCGGGTTACTCCAGCCCTTGGAGGTGCCATCTTAGGTCTGGGCGGACATATCCATGGACTTCATTGAGGGCCTTCCCAAGGTTGGCGGCAAGTCGGTCATCCTCACGGTGGTCGACCGCTTCTCCAAGTACGCCCACTTCATAGCGCTCGGCCATCCATACACGGCAGCGTCCGTGGCCCGGGCCTTCTTCGACGGCATCGTCCGTCTACACGGGTTCCCTGCTTCGATCGTCAGTGATCGAGACCCCGTGTTCACGGGCCATGTCTGGCGCGACCTCTTCAGGATGGCGGGTGTCCAGCTCCGCCTGAGTACGGCGTTCCATCCTCAGACGGACGGTCAGTCCGAGGTGGTTAACAAGGTCATTGCCATGTATTTGCGTTGTGTGACAGATGATCGGCCTCGCACTTGGGTGGACTGGCTCTCTTGGGCGGAGTACTGCTACAACACCTCTTATCACTCCGCCCAGCGCGCTACGCCATTTGAGGTGGTCTATGGTCGACCACCCCCGCCTATACTTCCGGTGGATCCGGAGACAGCTCGGACGGAGGTTGCGGGTGACCTCATCCGCACTCGTGACGAGATGCTTGCTGAGGTTCGTCAGTGTCTCCTTCAGGCTCAGCAGCTGGCCAAGCACTACTACGACG